CTCACCACCTTCATAATACTTGACAAGAACATTTCATGCCTCCTTCACCGATTCAACATGAGAAATCTGGTCAAAATTCATCGTTTCTACTACAGATTGAATACAAAACGCAGTTCTGCAATCTTTCGTCCCGACTTCTTTGTGAGTGATTCTATGAGCATAGTTTGTGTTGTTAGAAATCTCAAGAACGTCATTAGTGACCACTTCTTGGGTTTTATGAAAACCAAACAATGACTACATCAGTTTTCTCTATCGTATCTAATTTTTGCCATCAAGAATTGGAAGAGAATTGAGAATATCATTGATACCATTCACCTTTGCACTAAATATGATTCATGATCTTTATAAAGACGACCACCGACATGCAGTTCTTGAATTTACGATCAAAAAGGAAAACCAGAAGCTCTAGATACCAATTTATTAATATTGAAGCACTTTGGGTGGGGAAGGAATGAGAGAAAATATATTGAGAGAATGAAAAGTAATTGTATTGAATGAATAAAACTAATTACATTATAGATGTATTTATATACAATAGGTTACTTGTAACCCAAATAGTTAGCATACCAAACTAACTAACTTGCTAACTAAATAACTAACTTGGATCATATCACAATAATAATTACATAGTATATGATAATATCTAGTAAATGAAAGTGTTATAATTGATAGACCAAATCTTTTTAGCTTATGATACATATACATCCATATGTTACAAATTTCGTTTAAGTGATTAAATTAAAAGACGATCTTCTTGAATTAATGTGGTTTACTACATAGTGGATGAATTATGTTTACTTAAGTTTGGGAAGAATGAGTATTATTTTTCTTTGTGATTGTCTAAGTGGCAGAATTATATTTTATTTTGTGTTGTGCATGATATGACATATTCATTTTGTAGTTGCATAAGTGGCAGGATTATATTTTTATTTTGCATTATGCATGACATGTCATATGTATTGTGTGAATGCCTTAGTGTTAGATGAAATTTTTGTGTGTTTGCCTTTGTGGCGGGTGAAATTTATGCATGGTTACTTTAGTGACGAATAAAATTTATGTGTGGTTGCCTTAGTGGCGGGTGAAATTTCTGCATGTGAACCCAGATCTAGAACTTCACCGTTCGCATGATGGAGTTCAAGAGTGAATGTGACTTTTGTGAAAAACGTAGGAATCAAAAGTCGATACCCATAGACGACGCCACTATTTCGTTTGGGAACCAAAAATGGATGCTCTACCTTCATGAAGGAACCAGAAATGAAGACACATGGATAAGCAGTGATCTTGAACGGTTGCTCTGATGTCTTTTACGACGGCGCGAGATGGACCTGCATGGTTAATACTCCAACACCTAAGCAGTTCAAGATTCAAGATGAGTATATTGAAAAATGGAGATTAGTATGGTCTTTTTGTGTGAACTGATTTATACATTGCATCAAATAAAGTTGATTTGACATGGATTGAGCCTTGGTTTATTAGGCCTTTTCCCGGTCCAAAACATGTTCTTTATCTAATAAATATTACATTTTAGTTCCTAAAAAATTATTCCGTTAGCCAACTTAATTCATTATGTTAACTTTTAATTTTTAATGTCATAGGCGAGACAATATTAGTGTCTACCATAGACTTTATTTTTATTTTAAATTTTAACCATTTGATCTTTTTAACAAATTTGACACTTTTTGATTTTGATCTTCATCACCATCTTCATCCAAATCTCAGAAAGAAGAAAAAAAAAGTCAAGTGTTAATGATATAGTGTTATATTTAGTAGACCTTAAAAAAATTAAATAATTAAAATTTTATATATATATATATATATATATATATATATATATATATATATATATATATATATATATATATATATATATATATATATATATATATATATATATATATATATATATATATTAATTTTTAACTTTAATTATTTTAGGCAAGATAATATTATTGATTGTCCAATATATATATATATATATATATATATATATATATATATATATATATATATATATATATATATATATATATATATATATATATATATATATATATATATATATATATATATATATATATATATATATATATATATATATATATATATATATATATATATATATATATATATATATATATATATATTGGACAATCAATAATATTATCTTGCCTAAAATAATTAAAGTTAAAAATTAATATATATATATATATATATATATATATATATATATATATATATATATATATATATATATATATATATATATATATATATATATATATATATATATATATATATATATATATATATATATATATATATATATATATATATATATATATAATCTATGGTAGACAATCAATAATATTGCCTCGTCAAAAAATATTTAAAGTTAAAAGTTAATATAATGAGTTAAATTGTCTATCATAATAGTTTTTGAAGCTAAAAACCTAAGCTTAATAGATAAGGATTGAAGACAAAAACCTAAGCTTAATAGATAAGGATCAAGTGAAACCTTAAATTGAGTGAAGAGATCACAAGATTAACTAAATCATATTTTTTATTTTTAAATAATTTATCATTTTAAAATATAAAAAAATTGAATAAAAAATTTATATATTTTAATTAATTTTACTTCTATATTTTCATTCGGAAAAATAAATTAGAGTGTATTAATTTGATGAAGTAAAATTATAATATGGATAATATCATTTTTAAGAATATTATTGTTAAAAACTTTATTTTTAAGTATGTTTGACAAATAAGTAAAGTTTTTAGAAATATTTTTATATTTTATTTTAATAATTTTTAAAATTAAAAATTAAAAAAAAAAAGTATTAAAATAATTTGAGAATAGAAAGTTATGATTGATTATGTAAGTTTTTCATCCGTTAACGTGAGAATAAAAATAAATAAAAAATGTATGAACAAAATATATTCCTAAAAATAAAAAATACCAGATATAATTTATCAAAATTTAAAACAAATAAAAAAATATGTAAATTTCAGTGACACACATTCCAAAAATAACATTTATTTTATATGCATATGAAACAAACCACTCTTAAATATGTCATAAACCTTTACACAAAGAAACACTTTGCAAAATATCATTGGTCGACAAAAGTCACAACTCACAAGTCACTATCAATAAAGGAAAAAACCATACCCAGAGATATTGCTATCTCGTGCACGAACTAAACACACGATACGATTTCGTCCCCCAATTTATCGTCACGCATCAAAATCATTTGGCCCACCAGCCACTTTCATTAATCGCTTTACCCAAAATTCCATTTTCAAAACACCTTATATGACAATTATGCCCCTATACATGCTGCTGAATTTACCTACCGATGCCATTGCAGCCGCACTTGGTCCCATTTCTAAGAAACACCCCATCGCCGAAATTCATAGAAAAATACACCAAATTTGACTTTGTATTCATCGAGAAAATGATCAGTTTAGTATTGTTCATTAAAATTTTTTATTAAACTTTTGGTTTGTTAAATATATTACTTTTTCTTTACCAGTCACAAATTATAAATCATCTTGTTAAAAAAAAATTATTTTAAATTATAATCTTTTTTATAATTTTAATATAATATTAATACATTTTTTCTTAATATATCTTTTATTATTTATTATTATTATTTTTTCATTTTTAAATTTGTTTTTTATTTATAATAAATAAAAAAATATAAATTTTTTCCCTATACCATAATAGTCATATTTTTTAATTTGTATGAAAGATAAAAAACTTCTTATGATTTAAAAACTAAAGAGTATATAATAGTTACAAATTTGTTTTAAAAATAAATAATGTTTTTCTGGATACCAATAAAACTAAATTAATAGAACACATATTTATTTAATATAAAATAATATTAATAATATAAAATAAAAAATATAGATAAAATACGTAGAAACATTCGATTAAACTAAGATATACCAAAAGCTACATAAAAAACCAAACAAAACAAAAATAGAAGAAAAATACATTTATAATGTGTTATATTATTTAATTAACTTACTCTTTGATTTGATAAAATATTAAATCTTAATATATTACTATCTTTGATTTTACTTATAAATACAAATATTTTTAAATACATATTAAATAACTATATTATTAGTCTTCATTATTTTTAAATATTTTTAAATATATTAAATAACTATATTATTATTACATAATATTAATTTGTACTCTTGAAATATAAATTAAGAATTAAATAAAAAATATTGTATTGAAAATTGTTATTAATTTTAATAAATATATAAAACCAATTATTTTTTTCAACTCAAACTTTTTATAAATAAATTTCTTAACTTATATAAATTTCTTAATATAATCGATTACTCTCTCTGTTTAAATACATTTATGTTTATTATAGTCTTCATTATTAATATTATTTTACTTTTAAAAGCATGACCTTAAAACTCGCGGAACTTTGTTAATGTACTAGTAGAGAGCCTTATGTTTACTCATTTCGGTCTCATCTGAATTGAAAATATTACTCCAATATTATATCATAGAAAGTAGAAACAAACTTTAATAAGAACTTAATTAGTCTAATATACATAAATTCCTACTTATTTCATTTCAAAGACTATTTTGTATACTTACTAATAACGATCAGATACATAATTAACACAAGTATATAATCAGAAACCACAATAATAATTTATCATTTCAAACTTCAAACAAGATAAAAATTAAAAAGAAAAAGAAAATGAAAAGATCAAAGCATGATCAAACACATAGAAATTCAGATTCTTCATTTTTTTAGTAACGGTACACACACAACCTCTCTTAATAACTATCTTAAGTTAACGATTTTTTTCCTATTTATAAAAATAAAATCTGAAAAAGTAAATAAATTTAAATAAAATAAACACGTGTGACCCGAACCGGTCGATAAGAACCGGGTCAAATAGATCCATTTCCAGAATTTCACGTTTTGATTAATTTCTTCATCTTCTTCTTCGGATTCAGATTTTCAAACCTTAACGATTTTCGCTGCTCTGATAACTGGATTCTCCCTCGCAATAGCTTCTCTTCCAGCACTTTTATAATCATAGCTGCAATCATGACGATCGGAGTAACGATGTTCGGAGCAGAAAAGATCACCGCATCTACATCGGAATCCGGTCAACCCTACCTTCCTCCGGCAACCGGAGCATCGGCTAACAACACGCTTCGCCTCGGAAACCATCGGTTGATCCGACGAACTCCGATCTGTAACAACCGATGATGATTCCTCCGGTAGAGATCTCTTCGGAGATCGAACAGATCTGGAAGATTGAGGCATGACTCCGGTTATTCCGATCCCGCCGGTAGAAGAAGTGGTTGCGGTTGAAGCGGTGAAGCAATTTTGACACATATTATTGGTCGAAGGATTACCGATTACGCCGCAGTTGTTGATGCAAAGAGAAATCGTTTCAGGTACTTTGAATTCAGTTTCTTCATTTTCTGTTCTTTGAGCCATGCTAACAATAATTATTTTTCTAACAAAAAAATTGATAATCAAGGGTTTTTAATTTAAGAGAAGATGAGAGATTGTTATGAGAGAGAAGAATTGAGTTGTATTCTGTTTGTGATGGGTTGTGAGGTTGATAATGGAAAAGGAATATAGGCCAAGTAGAGAAAGCGTATCAAACATTTCTTGTTTATTTTTCAAATTAAATTTGTACAAGTGGGTTTTCTTTTTTTATATATATATTTTTTTCTTTCAACTCAAGTTGGTGATGTTGTTGTTGTTCTACTTTTCTTGCCACCTTTTCTTGTCCCATGGGTATGTGTGACGTGTTTATGTCAGTGATATGATAGGATATAAAAATTAAAATAGTAATGCGTCTTTTTACTTTATTGGTAGGTATTAATAATAGTGTTATTGTTGTTCTCTTTAATTCTAAAAATAATTAGTTAGGGATTATTTTTTTGTTAGGTTTAGTGGGTTGGCTTTTATTGGAAGAGGAGGTAGTAATTGGATTAGTGTTTTTTTGGTAAAGAATAATTGCATTATTGTTCATTATATATTCATTGATTTTATTGATAATCCTTGGACGAGAATGAATATAATATATATATATATATATATATATATATATATATATATATATATATATATATATATATGCAATGTCCCCTGAATTTTCTCACGCTAGGTTTACTTTTTTTTTTTTTAAATTAGATTTTAAATTTATACTATCAACTATATTACAGTTCCACTTATTTATTTGTAGGATAGATGTGTCCGTTTGTCTGATAATCTTATTTGCGATCTTATATTTATAAAAGAAAATTGACATTTTTAATTTATTAAATAATTAATATTTGTTTTAATACTCTTTTTGATCATATATCTTAATCTCGTAATCTATTTTGCTCCCTTAATTTTAAAAAGGTTCATATTGCTCCATTAACTTTTCAAAACGTTTCAATTAGTTCTTTTTATCATATTAGCGGCAGAAAAATTCAAAAATCAATCATTAAATTCGTTTCTAATTAAACAAGAAGGACTAATATGAAACGTATTAAAGAGTTAAAAGACTAAAATGGACTTTTTTTAAATTAAGGGACAAAAATGAACCTCGAAATTAAGATACGAGACTAAACAAGATATTAAACGTTAATATTTTAATCTATTATACATATCAAATATATTAATTATTTAATAAATTTTAAATTATTTTAATAAATAAAATCAAAACAAGTAACATGTTTTATTTCACTCTACCTTTAAAAATAAATAGCAGAGGTATGTCACACCCAGAGTCATGATTTGTTTATATATATATATATATATATATATATATATATATATATATATATATATATATATATATATATATATATATATATATATATATATATATATATATATATATATATATATATATATATATATATATATATATATATATATATATATATATATATATATATATATATATATATATATATATATATATATATATATATATATATATATATATATATATATATATATATATAAAACTTTAATATTTTAATTTATTATACAATTAATAAATTATATATATATATATATATATATATATATATATATATATATATATATATATATATATATATATATTAAACTTTAATATTTTAATTTATTATACAATTAATAAATTTTAAATTATTTTTATAAATAAAATCAAAACAAGTAACATGTTTTATTTCAGTCTACCTTTAAAAGTAAATAGTAGAAGTAAAAAATTGTCACAGCCCCCAGTCATGATTTGTTTATATATATATATATATATTCACGTAAAGAGATATGGGGGTCAATTGCCTCCACTTAAATATTAGTAAGCATATATGTCTTTTATAGATTTAAAAAGCATAGTAATAAGTTAAAATATTTTCTTTATTGCAATGTCTATTAAAAATAACTGTGTTTTGTAAATTTAAGAAGAAAATAACATCATGTTAATTATGGTGAAAACTATTTTATTAGTTTTATGTCTCAAGATCAAAGAAAATTATTGAATCTCTCATCCAACTTTAAAATAAAAAATATTGGATATGTTATTTTTTAAAATATTTTTCAAAAATATAGATGCAAAAGTTTAAAATAATAATTATAATTGTGTTGCGATTATGTAAAATTTTTTACAATTTTAATCGGTATAATTGTTACGGTTCTGATTACGATAGTCGTAATATGAATTATTCATAATTTATCTTTTATTATAAAACGGCGAATAACATTATCAATATCGACACTTTTCAATACTGTTTTATCGTATAAAATCTCATAAAAAAAATAATCCTATATATAAATAGTTTTTTTAAAAATTATAATTTTAATTCTCCTACTCCTAAAAATTCTAGATCCATTATATATATATATATATATATATATATATATATATATATATATATATATATATATATATATATATATATATATATATATATATATATATATATATATATATATATATATATATATATATATATATATATATTAACTTGCGTTAAAAAATTTAGAATAAGAAAAAGTTAGACTCAAAATTTGGTGGCTTTTAAGGTGAGCCATTAATTAAGTCCCTCACCATTACATTTAATATCCATTAAATTAAACAGATCATAAATTTTATAATACACCAAATCACATTGAATTATATGATCTCTCTTCATTTTTTGAGTCCGATTTTCTCCCATCGCAATGTACCGATCCAAGGTGATGCTAAATCCAATATCCATATCTGTAAAAGAAATATTCTCTGATTTGGCATTTGCATATTAGTCAATATGACAAATCAAATTGTTGTTTTTCAACATAAGTTTACTCAATTTTAAAAATAAAAAAAATGTTCATGCACTCATATACACAATTTAGAGCACAACTCGAAACTAATTTCTATAAATTGATAATCCATTAACTCATTCAAATTTAATTAGAGAGTGAAGAAAAAATCAAATGTATTTTTCTGTCTCTCAAAATGGAGATCATAACCTATATAAATAAATTAAAGGTTATTTTTTAGTTTTCAATATTTTAATTTGATTCATTATCAAATTACATTTTGACTTATGGTATCTACACAATAATCTTACATTTCATGATATTTATACTTTTTGTCACAGACTTACTTAATATTAATTAGACCCCTTTAAAGTTGACTAATTAGACAATGTTCATAACACCTTGATTGTGACCCAAAATTCTAACAATCTCCTATTTGTCACATGTAATTTAACATACGTTTTAGACTTTATGAGCTCAAGTTTGACATTAATATATACTTCAAGCATATCCGAATAATCTCGCCTATGAGTCATGCCAGTATACAGAACCAAAGTGATTTTTGTTATATCAATCATAATTAAACCCATCATTTATCACTAATACTCACATAATTAAATGACATAGATTCATCATGAAATGTGTAGCATGAAAATCACATGAATTTGTTCTGTTCATATCAATTTTCAACTGGTCCTACTTTAATTTAGTGAGATCATTTAATTAGTTTATTGTACAAAATGCAACTAGCTGAATACTAAACTTTATTAATTGAAAAAAATATTCAAAACTAGAGTATGTGTACATAATACCAAACATAGAATACAAAATTCTTAAACAACTAACTCTCACTAAACCAAAGATTTCTCAAACCATAAAACACCGATGTGAATAATGTGTCCATGAAAGACCTTGGGTGGAAGACCTTTTGTATGAAAATCTACTATCATGGAGTTCGTCCCTAAATGTTATATGGAAATGTGTCCACTTTGTCCTTTTTCCTTAATAGTTACGCATTTGATGTCAATATGTTTTGACTTGGTCGAACTCATATTATTGTTGGAATATATGACGACTCATTTATTGTCACAATATAACTTAAGTGGTCTTTCAATTCCTTCCATAATTTGCAGCCCAGTGACAAAGTTCCTCAACCAAATCCCATGGTTAGATGCCCCAAAGTATGCTATAAATTATGCTGCCATTGTGAATGAAGCAATGCGAGTTTGCTTGGAACTGCGCCAATAAACGTACCACCAGCTGTCACACCCCAATTTTTGACCATAAGAGCCCACCTGTTTTCGCGTTTTTGTTTCCATTTGGCTGATTTAATATTTATGCTTGTATGGCTAACCAACTTGTGCAGATGCAGTGATTTCAAATAGACCAACATCCGCTTTCGCCATTACAAAAAGCAAGAGAAGTTTTGAGCGGTACCCCTCAAGACCTTAAGCATCAAGTCTTCAAAGTAAGGGTCAAAGGTTTGTAATTTATGAAGGTCCAATGGTTAAAGGCACTCATCGTGCGAAGGCGGTGCCAAAGCTACATCAAATTCGGTTTACAAAGTGCAACTTTAAAGACAAATTACAAGATCTCGTTGTGATTCTCGAGATCAGGATTACGACTTCAACACTTGATGTAAACGCATCTTACATTGGAAGTAGTGTTAATAATGTCCCTACTACGACAAGTGAATTGGTTAACGCGTGATTAAATGGCCAAGGATTGAAGACCACCACTTAAATTACAAGGTGTGAGGCATATCATGATTCGTAGTTTTACAAAGGGGTTGAAGATTCATGGTATTGCGAATTTAAGAATTCTTGAACATGATCTATAATCAAGTATGAAAAGTGCATGAGACTCCATTTTTCTTCAACACAAATGGGAATGTCTAAATTCTAATATAAATTCATACTGGTATTACAACGCATTTCCAATATTCATAAGGATAGATGTTTTATTTACAAGGAGGTATAAAGTCTCAGACCATTGAGAAACCATACAAGCTACACTTTTTTCGCACAGCATGCTAAAAGCTATACAACTTCCTACATTCTTGCTTTTGGATATGACCCAGAGGAGTTATGTCGGTATTCACTTCATAAAGAAACATGGAAAGCGGAAGCACGATGGTTCGCCCACTCAGCCCGCATTACAACTTAAGCCCCTTTCATGAACGAAAGACAGAGCAAGAACAGTAGACG